GGCGCCACACTTCAAAAAGGGATGTGGCCAGCCTGGAGAGGGTTCAGAGGAGGACCACCCGCTTGGTGAGAGGGCAGCAGGACAGGCACTACGAGGAGAGACTGAAGGACCTGAACCTGTTCAGCTTCAGCAAGAGGAGGCTGAGGGGGGACCTGATGGCTGCTTACAAACTCAAAAATCGGGGAGATCAACAGCAAACAGGTAGAGCCCTTTTCTCCCCAGCACCACCTGGGGTGACAAGGAACAATGGTCATAAGCTGATGGAGAATAGGTTTAGGTTAGAGATCAGAAGGCAGTATTTTACAGTTAGGGTGGCCAAAATCTGGAACCAACTTCCCAGGGAAGTGGCCCTCACCCCTACCTTGGGCAAATTCAAGAGGAGGTTGGATGATCTCCTGCCTGGGGTCTTGTGAACCCAGCATTCATTCCTGCCTGTGGCAGGGGTCAGGCTAGATGATCTGTTCAGGTCCTTCCTGATCCTAGCTACTATGAAACTATACGATTACCATATTTATTTGAATATAAGACAACCCACAATAATTAGATTCTATATATAAAAATTACAGACATCATAATTAGATTCTATACCTAGAAAATTATTAGAGGTTTGCCTTGAATTTGTTCCCCTCCCACTGCTACTGCAGGGAAAATGAATCTGGGGGTCAGGGAGCCCCCCCTTGTACTCTGCCCTGACAACTTCTTCCATTTGCAGCCTTCCCCGCCCCCCCATTACCGTCAGACCCTGCTCTGCCTGAGCATGTGGAAGTGAGGAGCAAATTTAAAAACTAACCTTGAAATAAACATACCTGTAGTAATTTGTACATAGTATCTATAGTCTTAGTTCATCCAGAATTGACCGTCTGCAAGTTTGAAACTGCTGCAAGTTTTAGCATAAGTAATCCATAAACACACTTCTAAGCAGCAATTTTATACCCATTTATAGATGTACGAACTATGTATGATATTAGTCCAAAGCAAAAAAGGCTCATTATTTAGTATACAGTTCACTGGGCTGGAGAGGGTCAGCAGAATCAACAGCATTTCAAGCCATAGTGACACCAGGTCAGCACTGCTCAGTATGTGTGTACACTCCAAATACTCCCACAAAGGATCCATGTGTTAGTTAGCCCCCCACTCATGACTGGAACTGGGTGTTCTTGTCATGAGTCCTGGGATCCTCCAAATATTTATATGCAGAAGAAGCGCAGAACAATGTGGTCTGGCTTCACCTTGTGGAGGGTGGGGCCACACTATTCATATACAATTAGAAGGGGTGACAGAGAGATTCTGGGGTGAACTGTTTGGGGCCCCGACTGGTGATGTTTGCCAGACATTTAAAGCTAGTGAAGAAACAGAAATCATTGGAAGTGGGAAAGGAAGTCAGGTGCAGCTGAACTGTGGGACTGAAAAGAAAGTTGAAACAGTCTATGTAGCAGCTCACCATAACTTTTAAGAATTAGTGCTGAGGGGAACTATGCTCAGTGAGCACTACCACCATGCATCTTATTCAGATGGATTGCATTTGGTAAAACAAGGGTGGTAACACTACATGATTGAATCTGAATGATTGAATTCTGCTTAATCGATAGGTTTCAGAATGGATTTAGCTAATTTGACCTGGAACATGAAATGGAAGAAAGAAAAAAAAAAAAAAGAAACAAGGATGCTCAAGACTTTTCAGCTAGAGGAAGGCCAGACTAGGGGGCATCTGAACCCCAAGGCCTCTGGGCTTGGGACTTGCATGTAGGATGCCTGCTATGGACTTGGGAGCATCTGAAGCCCCAGGCTGAAGAGTCTGGGGGGGGTAGGATATTTGTTGATGGTAGTGCCACAGACTTGAATGAGTGAGCTCAGCTCAGTCAATAGAATTCAGAACTGATTTGGCTAATTTGGCCTGAGACAAAAATCAACACATGTACACGCGCACACACACACGGATGTTCAATATGTAAAACTTTGTAAGTGTAAGGTGATAAGTGCATTTTTAACAAAATTTTGTAAATAAATAAATAGTAGTTAAGAAGGGTTTCCCCATCAGTATGTTTGCCCAATATGGGCCATATGTTTTATGGCCATGCTCAGTGTTGCCAGCATTTAGTCAAATTCATTATTAAGCACAGGCTACTTTTGGCAGCAGTTTAATGATAGACAATGTATTCAATGAGGTTTCTTTGTATGGAAATGTAAGATGAGGAGCTTTCCTCCCCCCATGATAAGTGAGGCATAAAAAAATCTCAGTAAATACAGTATATTTAAAAACAGGGAGGGGGACCCCCAAAATCCAGCAAGAACAACAACAGAAGGGACCAACTAACGGAGTCATATGACACTGTTTTGTATTCCATCACAAGAGGTCCCAGAGCTAATTCCCAAACTTCAGGATGGGCAAGCTGATCCAGACTCCACAATTCCCTAAATTCCGAAGTATAAAGCCTCTTATGTATGTGAGCATGTATTATACTCAAGCTTTCCGGGCTATCAAGCAAATAGCTGCTACATGAAAATCCATCATCATCATCGTCACAACCCAAAGTTGTGATTTGTTGTTTGTGCGTGCTTCGGCAACGCTAAATTATGTTCCCGCTAAAATTACAGCTTCTTTCCATGGTGGAGTTTTCTGCTGCAATAGAAGAACCCGCGTGCAAAAGAGTATTTCCCGCCGTTTGTAGCCTTCTTTGCAAGGTGAATTTCTTTTGCATCATAGTGATGCACAGTGCAAAGGAGTTCCTGCCATTTGTATTTAGATTCATGCCACATTATTGGCCGGTTCTAAATGTAGGCATACGTGGCGGCTAGCTATTGGCTTGCTAGCCGTACAAAAGGCTTGGGTAGTTTCCGCCCAAGTCGGAGAGAGAGGAAACCTGGAGAGATACAGAACTCGCCAGGAGGAGGAGACTTCGTGCTGTGTGAAGATCCTATATACCCAATTTTCGAACCCATGGAGTCTTAACAGCTCCGGGGGACCTGGGAACTGAACAGAACCCACGGAGATTCAGCTACTCCGTGAGGAAAGAATTGCCGAACCCGCAGAGCCTAAACCACTCCGGGGTCAAAGAACCAAGTTTGTCAGAGTCCTCCAACGAGGACTCAAGCGGAGCTGCGCCTGGAAAGCTGTCCAGCCTACACCACGACCATCTTCGGTGTAAGTAAATAATCTTTTCAATCAACCATTACGCCTCCATAACTGATTCTAGCTCACGCATATACCTTACCGCCCCGCAGTTTTCTCCAGCCCCGCGTGCCCGGGCTGCTGGCCACAGTCCGCATGCGCAAAGACGGGCCCGGCTCGCACATGGCGAGGATGGGATCGGGAACCGGCCCGCACAATCATCATCATCTATAATCTGCAAGGGAGTCTCATCTAATATAGGCATAGCAGTCTGGAAAAACACTCTTCTCTTGTGTACCAGAAAGAATCAGGGATGGCTTTTCTCATTTTCAGCATGGACTCCTCTTGTGAGTGAAAAATTAACTTATCCTACAAATGCGGGGGTACATGTGATGCTGGATAAAGCAAGGAAAGTTAAGAGTGAGTTCAGCAAATGTCAGATTCCAACACTTTTTTTTTTTTTTTTTTTTTTAAAGCAATCAGAAATCCCCTACATTAATTTAACAGGATCTTCAAGATCAAGGCTCTTAGAGACAATACAACATATGGTATGGAACACACCACACTGAGATAAATGCTGCTGCTTTGACAAAGTGATACCTCAACTCTCTATCCACACTTTTGTTCATTTGTCAGTCCTTACTATTTAGACATATTGACTGTCATCTGATTTTGAAATTCCAAGTTATTCAGCCATGCTCTGAGATCTTTTCTACTAGTCCTTACTGAAACAAAACTATACATAACAGATAATACCACCTATCTGATAATGCTCAAATAGTACAATCATGATGAAAGTAACAAATACCTTCAGTTATAAGAGTGATATGTGGCAGAAGGGCTGGGTACTGAGGCTACTGGCTCTTGCAATGCAAAGCCAAAGGCTAGTGACTTGATCCTTGCTATAGGCTCAACTGTACAGTCACTCTGGGGACAAAAATACCATTATGTTCAAAGACTGTTCCACATATGAAGTGGCTGCACAGTTGGGATCTGGAATAGGGGCAGCTTAATAGCCAAAACAAAAAACCAAACAAACAGAAAAACAAAGAGAAAAATTAACAGAGCCGACATCAAACAAGCAACAAATCAATTGGCTCTTTTGAATGAAAAGTCTGTTTCCCAGAGGGATTACGTGGTCTTGCTCTATATTTTAATGCAACACTCCTCCTTCATTTACCACACGATGTGAAAGATTGGATGGGAAAAATAATAATAATCATAATTCCCCCATAATTAAGGCTGTTGCTGCTACTATATTGTATTCAGCAGCCTGAAAACCTTGAAAACCTTCATTGGATGAACCTCTTCCAAACGTGTATGTTTGAACACCGCTACCATTTGACAGAAGAAAGTTTCATGCCAAGTAATGGTACGGCTCTACAAATCAGAGTCTGATCCATGAAAAACAGGACCTACACATACCTGTACACACAAAACGCATCAAAGCCCTGAATTCTGAACATAATAATAGTATTATGTACTATATTTAAAGGATAAAAAGTAACCTATACAAGCAAATTTTGTTAGGTCAACCCCCCACAAAAACAAACTTTCTACAGTTACTGGCATAACAAGATTAGAAGCTCTCTCACACATTTAATTGCTTTATCTTCTGTTATTCCAACTAACGGGCGATTCAACTTCCTAGTTTTGATACACTTTTTTTTTGGTTGGCCTCCTTAGTGCAATCAGAGTTAATAGCATTCATCTTTAGAGGGTGAAATTGCCTTCTTCACAGGGTGATGCTTATGTTGTTTGGCACAACTCATTAACACTCACACAGTGACAGCTTGCTAACAAGTGGCATCTGGCTACCCTGTCAATGGAAAGAGAAGCTGGGACATGATAGAAGAGAAAACCATAGAGCATAAGGAAAGTCACTATATACCTGAGCAGTTGTGTGGTTGACTAAGGCCTTGCCAGGGGAAGAGGATGTTGGCTGCTGCACTGTCAGGATCTGCTGTCCTAAGGCTACATTCAGGGGAACACCCACAGCCTTCTGGGGGGAGTTTGAAGGCTGAGAGGCCACTGACACCACTGTTAGCTGCTGAACAAAATGAAGAAGCTAGTTAAAAATTATTAAAAACAAAACAAACAAACAAAATATCACTGCACAGCAAACAATTTCAATTTCATGCTACTAGAGATCCTTCAGTGCACTGCCAGCAAACACATTATAGTTTGCTACATCAATGTGTCCTGTCCCTCTCCCAACTTAATTAAGAATACCAAGTTTACCAAAACTCCATCCAACAGAACTGTAATACCTCCTGAGTGCAGGTGGACACATACATGAACACATTAGAACAAATGATATTGCCACAGTACATGCATTGCCACAGTACATGCAAAGTAAAAGGCAGCTTAGAAAGGCAATAGGGATATTACTTGGAAAACCTTTTATATGGTAGCCTAAGACAAAATTTCCAAATTGCATTTTCTAGTGAACATCTTTATACATAGCATCCATGCATTTTCTCTTTCCTCACAAACAGAAAAATGGGGAAAAAATCCACCCAGATTTCAGATTTACAATGTTAACAGATTCAGAATAAAGGGATTTCATTGGTATTTCCTAAACTCAGTTTTAGATATATGTATGCAAGCCAGAGAGGCCAGATTTTCTTAACAGATTTTTGGAGAGAACAAAGTATTTAAATTGCTTGTGTTGTAAATCTGTTACTTTTCAAACCCTCAACATCCTACTATTTTAAGTGTTTCATCTGCTTTCTTTTTTATATACGAGATCCCTGAAGTCATTACATTGTGTGCATTTGTCTCTGTTCTGCAGTATACTCAAACTATAATTGAAAGAACCTTTTGACTGGTAATTTTCTATCGCTTATTTTATGTAGATTTTATCCTCTCTCTACACACACACACACCCCACTTAAGAGACAGAATAACAATCCCCCTATATTTGTGCAATGCTACATTGATCCCTTAGTAATGCCAATGAAGGAAAACTTTCATTCTTACATCGCTGCCTTCAGTGGCATGAATCTGAAACAGAGCATGAGACACCTCTCTACAGATCTCTCTTCCCTATCCTCTCTCCAACAATGTCCCTCACTCCCACGGCTACTTAAGTCTAAAAACATAGGGTATACAAAGGAGGAGTCAACAAGAAGTCCACCCTGTGGCACATGCAAGCCCCCCTAACTTTATGGTGTATAAGTTTTTCTCCCTACCCCTTCCCACAGTACTCTTTATCTGTACCAAGTCTCCCATCCTGCTTCTACTGAAGAAAATTGCAAAACTGCTCATTTCAAATAACGGAGCCGGGTATAACAAACACCTCAGAGCAAGGAACAGTTATTTAACTTCTCTGTGCACTGCCATGCATATCAATGGTCCTTCATACGAGTGTTCCATAAACTGGCTGTTTTCATATGCAAATTATTCATGTAATTGATGCACTCAGAAAGTGTCAAAACACTAATAGCTACTATAGTGTGCGTGTGTTTCCAATCACTAGAGATATATGGGGTAGAAGTTTCAGAGATGTAGTGGTTTTTATTTAATTTCTGCAGGATCCAGATAAAACGGAAAGAAAAGATGGAAAAGGCATCCAAGCCAGCGAAGGACTGTTTCACGATGTTAAATGGTCTTAGAATAACATACATTAGACTGGATGACTCAAGGAATGGGTCTTTTATAACTTCTCTTAGGAAGTGTCAAATATGCCTTAATTTCTACCCTTTGGATTGGATTTAAAAAAAAGTTTGTGAAAAAAATAATTGTAAATACTGTCTATGCATATGCAAAGGTTTCAATAGTTATGACAGACTGTTTAATCAATCAACAATTTGTACTAGACACAGGGTGAAAGACATCATGGAAAAAAATAGAACCAGTGCCTCTTTAAAGAGCTGTTTTCCATTTAACCTTACAGCAAGCACAAAGATTTGAAAGGAAGTTAATTAGCATTTCAAAAAGGTACTCTTGTTCCAGCCTCAAGTACCTGGGAATAGGGGACCCTGAGATACCAGTGCAGGCTATTGTGCGCTACACGGAAGAGGAAAGGGGAGGCTAGGCCAGGAAACGAACTGCAAGGAATATAGAAGAAATAACCACAGGCGATTTATCCAAACTGTATAAAAGAAAACAATCCTGAACTGATTGAAGAATCATATGATAGATGTTACAAAAATGTCATCTCTCATCAGAAGTCACTGTTATAAAAACATCTAAGAAAAAATGTCTGGGATTATACCAAACCCCTTTAAAATCAACAAGGCTCAAGAATGACACCTTCCCTGGAGACTTTGGGCTTTTTATTTACAGTCTTCTACCACCATTCTACCTGCCTCTCCACTGAGAGCTGTTAACTGCAGAAGCACAGAGATAGGACGGACACTTTGGAAATAGGAGAGATGTTGAAGAAAAAAAGCTAGTGTAGATAAGGCTTAACAAATTGTTAAGGAAGGAAAAGGGAAAAGAACTGGGAACAAAGATGTACTCATCAGCTGGGTCCATCTTTGCCTTTATACTGAGGCAAGAGTACCCAACATTCATACACATTCAATAAGGTTTATAAAGCCATTGATTTGACAACTATTTTCATTGTATATTCCTCTCAGAACTTGTTTTTTCCCCCTGAGATTAAGCCTGAGCACCTGGAACACAATACATTTAGACCAGGGCTAGGCAAAATACAGCCCGTGGGTCAGATCTGGCCCATGGCACTCAATGGGGCTTAGCCCTGTCTGCTCCTGCCCAGGGCAGCCCTTGCTGTGCTTCTGCCTGTCCTGGCCCCAGCCAGCATGCACTGCTTCCTGGTGGGGCTGTTCTTGGTGCAGCTACCTCCTGGGTACTGCTCGGCTTGAGGGGTGGGGTTATTTTTATTTTTGTGGAGTCACCAAGATCTATTCTTGAAAATGAAACAGCCTTTTGACAACTCATGACAGCAGGTCTGGAAGAAAATGCTATCTATTCTAGATCATATAGCTTACTTGGGAGGGACCTGACAAAGCTAATAAACACAAGAAGTGTCAGGAAAGAAAAATCAGAGGTTAGAATAATGCACATTTTTAAAAACAAAACACAACAGAACCAATTAGGTTATATTTAGCTTTAAATTAACTTCTAAGAACTGTAACAGATTAGCAGCACTTTGTGGCAACAGGCCCTTGAAGAGTTGGATGAGAACAAGGAAAACTTAAATAGGAACTTCAAGAACCAAACACAGAACAAGATGAAAGGGGGGAGCTACACTCGGGACCTTACCTTATTGGGGGACTTCAATGGAGAGATAGCTATCTTATTTGGTGTCTGTTGTGTTGCTGAACTTAAAGATGACCCAATAACTCCGCTCTCAGAAATTGTTATCGTCTTTGGTGGTGTTCCTGGAGCAGTCTGTGAAAGAACCCTACCTGAAGATAATAGACATTAACAATTTAATTAATCTTCTGTTTCTTTATAACAGCCTTTCAAGCAAAAGGTTATTTAGAAATCCTGGGTGCTAGCAGTCTCTTGGCCCCACCTCAAAAGGATATTTCCCTTGATATCAGTGGTGCAACACCAATGTTATGCAGGTCATGTTTAATAGGCAAGGAAATGCAACTTTAGAAGGAAAAAGCATTGCTTTGGATTGTTTTCCAAATAAATGTCACGTCTATATATCCTGTGAAAAGGCAAATTTACGCTGGTATTTTAAATAGACTTCACTAAATATGCCTTACTCCTAGAACTAAGTTCTAGTCTTCTCTGTTCTACTCCAATGTCACAGTACCCTATGCAAAAAAAACCCAAACAAACCTAGTTTTGGCAACTGACTTACTACCAACAGCCTCAATGCCTGATATACAAGCATCCAGAAGAGCCTTTGCAGTTCTTTAGGAATCGGAGCACATTTAGAAAAGTGATCAGCACAGTAAGGGATCTTTTCTGGGGATACTGTTTTTAAAAATAAATAATGGAATTTCTTAGAGGAATTAGAGAACTACTTTGCAGGTTCATCTGTATAATCAAGCTGCAATTTTATTCCTTTAGGTTTGATTTCTCATATGTTGGTATTTGTAAATAAATGAGTAATGTTGCTGTAAAACATGCCATACACACCTGCAACTTGAATACACAAACTGTTCTTTCCAAAGCAGCCAGTGTAATCAAGCTTAAACACAAATGAGATGGTGATGCCAGTTGATATTTGAGAACAGGGAGGGTTCACAGAATCACTTCCTTTAAAGATTAACACCAGCAAGTTAAAGTCTGACTACACCCTGATGCCACAGAAGAGAACACAGGACAGACAGGATGGCAGCAGAAGACTTGTCTGGAGCTAACTTCATGCTAGGAAGAGAATTTGCCAGTTAGGGATACAACTGCTCCCCTTCCCTCCACAATGCTCACATTAATTATGCAATACTTCTGTACTTTTACCAGCTTCTTAGCAACAGCCAAAACCAATATTACTCCTTTTGGACCCAAGTAGTTAGCCAAAATTTGGAGTTCTGCAGTTGCTTTAGGTAGGTGAAGAACTTGGCAGCATCTTTTATAGGATTCTATTTATTTATAAATAATATACAGAGTCCAGTTTCTCCAAACATCAGGAATCAAAACAGCAAGAGATAGTTCCTTTGGTCATAGCTCCAAATTCCTCTCTCTCAGCTTTTTCTCAAGGCTGTATTTACCAGTCCCACACACCTCCTTACCAGATTGGGAGGGGGTGCACCTCTTTCTCTCTTGGATATTTTTCACATGACATCTCTCTCATACATCCCCTGTCCTAAGAAGAACATATTGTGAAGCCCATCCAACCACATTTGCCATCGCTTTGGTTTTTGTATGGAGACTACCATTGTTCCCATAAAGGACTTGCTCTCTTTCATTTGGGAAAAAATTAAGACACTTCTTGATGTGCAGCTTCTACACATTTTAACCCAACTTATGATACCATTTTTAGTCACATGCAAGGGATACAATTAGGCCTACACTTTGCCAGCCTCTATCATGTTATATTACTTTTTATAAATGAGGTAAGGATTTCCTAGGGTGATATCTTTTACTGTGTGAATTATGTAGTTGGGATAGAGTTAGACAAACTTTTGAATGCAGGACATTCCTCCTCAGGTCATGTTTTATAGCTCCACAAAAAATCCTGCTCTAGCAGGCTCTAGAGCAAAACTGCAACTGTTGTTTCCCAGAGGGACACACCAAACTAGTTCTAGGAATACATGGAGCAGAGAAGAAGGACTGAGGTGGCTAAAGAAATGCATCCCTCCAGATCAACATGAACCTCCCTCCATGACAGATGGTTCTGTGCTTGTAGATGAAGTGGCAGGTAGCTCTTCAGGAATGATCTGCCTCTCTTCACTGTGCTCCTGCAGCAGCCCATAGGAACAGGTCATGTATACAGGGCCACACAATGCAAGCTGCAGCTCATCAGCCCAAATTTCCCTTCTTCCACAACCTTTACCTGAATTCTATGGGAACAGGGAGCCAAGGCTAATCAAACAACTAATGAAAGATCATCCAGGGCAATTTGTGGCTTCTGGGTCCTGATCTAACATTCAGTGAAGTCATGAAAAACAGTGTCAACTAATTTCTGTGGGAACTGGATCAGGACTTAATGGGGAGGGGGAAATGGTGAGAGTACAAAGAAGTATAAGGCTAAAAGAAATAAAAGGGAGTAGTGGCCATTGAGTCAGAAAACAGACCACTGGTTCTTAACCTTCTCAGATTCAGTGCACCCTTGATAGACTCCAGGTATCCCTCAAAGTGCCAGCTCTTAGTTTTCACTTTTTTGACTTCAGAAAAATACTACAGCAATTCTGTTGCAAAGAACTCAGGAAGACCCCAGCAAGTCAGAGTGTTTTTAACACCATGAATTCCTATTGGAAATCTCTGGATTGATGTTGTGGATTGTGCGTGCACACCTAACAGTGCTAACATTGTATGACACTTTGCAGTACCTTTGAAAGGATCTCAAGGCACCCTGGTTAAGATTCACTGGAGACACCGAGATGTCAACAAAGCACCACTACACAAACTTAATGTCAAAGGGAACTCCACTTGGAACAACATATCACTCCCCAAACTACAGCAATGTACTTGTTGCACAAAGGCACCAAATAAAAGAAATGTAATTTGTTACATAAGCCAGGGTTGAAAATAAAAAAAAAGAGAAAACAATAACAAAAATATTAAGCAGTAAGACGACAGGTAGGTCAGTGTGCTGCAGTCCCCCAGAAATGGCACTACCCTAGCAGAAAATTCCTCTCCCCTGTAAGTACATTACAAACCTGATTCTATCAACATGTTCTCTAACATATGCCATGTCAGTAACAAAACAACAATGTTGCCAGCCACCCTCAAATTAATATATATATTCTTACAAATAAAGCATAAGAATATTACCTTCCATAATGTTTCCAGTATGTTTTTTCTAAAGACAGCAGCTTTTCCCTCCTCTGTCCGTTCCCTAAGTACCTCCTCCCATTCTCCCTTCCTAAGTGGAAGGTTGGCCACTTAAATTTACTTCATACATCATGAAATTGAAGTAAAAGTTAATACAGTCCCACTCAACTTTAAAAAATATTAGATAGTAAGCAAAAGCCATGTGTCACACTTTCCCTGTAAGCTGACAATCAGAAACTCTCAGAGCTGGCAAAGTGGGTGGATGCATCTTTAAAAATATTTTTCTTTTTTCAGAGAAGCAGTTGAACCTACCAGTGATACTTCTCTTGCAGGGACTGGAGAAAAGTAGTCTTGATTCTCTAGCATATTGGTTTAAAAGAAAAAAAGTTAAAATAGGATTTTTAACTGAATTGTGTGTCAGTTTCAATTCTGTGTTCTGATGTGAGATGTTCCATCAGTTTAGGGGACAAGCTTCACAGAAATAATAATGATATGCTATTATACGTACTGTTTTTCTTATCATTCAGATCTTTCCTAATTTCCAATATTTCATGCATTGTTAATGGAAATGGAATAAGGTTGCAGGGTTTATTTTGTTTTTAAAGAAAGCTGAATTAGAAGTTGTATGAAACAGTTTGATTTCCATGTAGAAAAGTATACGGCCAAATTTTAGATGGGGAATTGTGAGTGAGGACAGAGGGGAAAGAAAAGTAAAAGCTACTTTCTTTCAGGAAAGCAAGGAAATCTTCTAAAGACAAAGGAATGCAACTTACCCTGAGAAACAGGGGTAGGTGCAGGGAACAGGCAGCACCACAAGGCAGCAATGTAACAAGGCAGGGCACCTGTGCTAGAGGGGCAGCAGCTTCCGGTTCCAATGCTGCTGCCATCACAGCTATAGCAAAAGCGGTTTTCTTTGCGCTTCCCACCCTTGTGGGCACCCAGGGCACTTGCCCCTATCGCCCTGCCCTAGTTACACTACTGCCACAATGGCTGCAATTCTCATTATACAAAGCTTTCATTAAGTCAACAACAATCTTTGCACAGACGGATGTGTTTTTTTAAGGACAAATACAGTCACCATCTTGCTTAGTCTTTGCAAGACTGTAGGCTTCAGTGGCTCTTTCAGCATGGCCACCTACTTGCGAGCACCTCTGTGCACAACATATTTGTACAATTGCATGAAAAGGGTACAGTAAACTTTCAAAAGTCACACTCTTATTTGAAATATTTTACCAGACAATTGTTGAATGTCTGTATGTTAAGTGGAAGAGATGGGGTGGTAGAGGGAGTTGCTTTTTCTAGTTTGTTTACTTTGCACATTTGCTATAAGTTTTTGCACAACAAGTTTAGTCTATTGCCTTGCTTTGTATAACTTCATCTAGTAGTAGGGAAAAGAAAAAGTATTTTGTGAAAAATAATTGAAGATGAACTGAACAACCATAACTATTAGCCAGAAGACTCAGCACCATAGCTACTTTTTAACTTATTTTCTGAAATTAGATGCATGATTAGGTGTCCAGATGATTGTATTGTTGGGACTGCTATTAGAGCACAGGATTCAAAAATAAAAGTGTGGCCCAACACACTTACTAAAAACCAGCTCCAACTCTGTGCTGACACGACTGGCTCCCCCAGACTCAAAGAATTCATTCCAGACTTACAGCTGGGGTGCCCAAACTGCTACAAGCAACATGGGCAGCTTTTGTGCGTGGTATGTGGCACAAGGAGCACAGGGCAGGGAGAAGAAAGCAGTAGCAGCTGGTCAGGCAAAGAAGGGTACGGGACCGTCACTCAAGGAGGGTATAGGGCTAATTTGTGGCACACCTGCCAAAAAGGTTGTCCCCACTGCTTTAAGCAAAAAAAGCCAACATTGTTAATAAAGTTGCAGTTCACTGGTTCTTGTTTACATGACTGTTTGCAACAATTTCAAACTGCTTGAGTCTCGGACACAGGAATTTTGCATAAAAAGTAATGCTGATTTGTCCACGTCTGACTGGTTTAGTTTTTATTAGCTATTTTCAAACATCCAACTAAAGATGAAGCAAGCAGCAGTTTAAATGACTGAACTATAGTATATCCCAGCTGCACATTCCCTTCTCCTTTTAACATTAAGCAGTCAAACGTCAATCTATGCATATTCTATTAAACTTTGGATATTCTGAAATGTTTTATGCTTTGGGTGGTATCAAAAGCTACACACATTCAATCAGAGACCAGACAGATTTTTATTCTGCATCTTCCTCACTCTCCACAGCCTTTGAGAAAGAGTACAGCAAAACAAGTCTAAAAGTAGTACAACCTGCAATGACTGGTGACACTTGAGTTGTCTGTCCTGTAACTGCTTTGCTATTAATTGGCTTTGCAAAGATCAGCTTGGTGATCACTGGGCCAGATGTTGGGGTTCGGGTCTTCTTAGCAATCTGAAAAAATGAACAAGAGACACAATTCTGGAATAACTTCAGAGTTCAGAAACTTCAAGCACATTGTTGCTAAATCCACAGCAATCTTGAGGGTACCGTCCATACAATTAAGCAGGTGACTCGGCCATAACTTTCTAGTTACTTCCTGCTAACTCCCCATCTTTTTCCCCTAAGCACAGATTTAGGTGTCCATAGTGTCACTTTAAAGAACCAGTCCAAACAACCTGAAGAAAAGAATCGCCAAACTTACACTTCATTTTAATAAGGTACATATCTTAAAAAAAAAAAAAAAGCCTGGTCTTCAAGCAGGACAGACCTTTGAAATTGCTTCTACGTTCACACAGAGAACGATTTTACATGTGAGAGTACTTTAAATATCAAGACATGTTCTTTTTTTAAATTCTGAACACAAGACACCCAGGGGAGAAGATCAGCATTCTGCTACAGACAAAAACTAGCTCATTTCCACCACCCCCCAACACTAAAACATGCCCTCTATACCTGTGAAGCTTGATCCAGTCTTCCGAAATAAAGCTGGATTACGGAGGGGGTATTTCAAACAACTGAGGCAGCTCAGATCCACTTGAAGGTTTTATAAAAAGGGTTGGAGAATATGCAATAAATCAACCTTTTGCTTTCCCTATTCAATTTTTGAAAAAAAAATCAAAACCTAACTTCCAAAATTGAGCTATAGGATGTATTAAACTATGATGGTCACTGGAGACTACAAGCTGGATACCAAAGAGGTCTTGGTTAGTTATTATAACTAGGGACAATTTTGCTCTCAGTCTGATAACTGAACTTCTCAAGGTAGTCTTTAGAGGTATCAGATATATCTGTACTGATAGCTAGCTAGCTAGCTAGCTAGCTACCTAGATAAAGATAAGGTTGTTGACACCTGACCTAGACAGTACTCCAACCAAAATTTAGCTCCAACATTTACTAGTGATTTAGATCAAGCCTGTCATTTTTCTACTTGGTGGGTGCATCTACAGGCCATGTGATAAACTCCACAGCAGTTTGCACTAGAATTAACTGTTCCCAGGCACAGCATTCATGTGTGCACCTAGGACTGCAGCAAGTAGCGCCAGGGTAAACCAACCCCAGGCTGCCAAGGGGACAGGAAGGGGCCAGCCCCGGGCTCCAGGTGGCAGTGTGGGGGCTGGCAGGACCTGGGGTTCTGGTCCCCAGCTGCTTGGGCTGACCAGGTGCAATTAACGGACTTGGTTAGCATCTACACATGCATTTTGGCACATTAAAAGTACTCTGCCATAGGATAGCACTGTCCCCAACAGTACTATACTACAGTGAAGTTGATTAGTTCACTGCACCCTAATACCAGTACACATGTAGACTGTGACACTTTACTGTGGAGCTAATTAGTCAACTCCACAGTAAACCACACATGTAGATGCACCCAGTGACACCAGACTTATACCACTATTGCACTGACTTGAATAAGTGACAATGATATAAAACTTGTGTCTGACTGGAGACTAAAGCCATGTAACAGGAAACCAGACCCACAGAGAAGAAAATCCACAACAAGACAAGCATTTGGAAATGCAAGTTAGGATTTTGTATTGCCATGTGGAAAGAAATCTAGAGAAAGTTGCTCCCAAATAATGTTCTGTGGTGTCCCCAAGAAAATGCTGACTACAGACATTTAGATTTTATTTTAGGCAGTTTTTACATTATTTTGGGTCAGAACACCACTCACCCAGAGACCTTCAGACCAGAGATAGCAATGAGGCCATTTCAGTTCACAGTAGCGATATGAGCAATATCAACAGCACCACTGGAGAAGACAGAGGTCACATACAGTTATAGCTGTGGGAGGCACCAAGCCTGGAATTGTCTGAAAAAAAATCATTCTAGCATCCTTTCCACAGAACTGTTACTGTCTTGACATAGACACCTCCCTCATAAAACAAACCTTGCCTCTGTACTCCTTCAGCTGTACCCAGGCAACAGCGACAAACCTAAAAAAAAAACACTTTGAAACTAGACAGAGAAAACAGATCACATTTAAAAAAGGAAACCATGTACTCTTCTCCATTATTGAGCAAAAACTATCCTGGGAAAGTCTCTTCTTTACACAGCTCATGCATAAAAGGCAGCTGTATATTTCCTCAAATGCACTATACATATACACTAGTGGTGCTTTCTGCCCCACAAACCAGAGGGGAGGTGCTAGTCCCTTCTACAGCCCTGCCTGGGTGTAATCTGACCACATGGCAACAAGCCCAGTCTGGGCCTGATCTGACCACAATGCTTGGAAATTTGGTAGTGGGGGAGGAAGGCAGTACTAATTGCCACCTCCCCCACTAAATTCCTGGGTACCTTCCCCACTGCCAAATTTCCTATCCATGGCGAGTCCCATGGGCCAGCTCTCATGGCTCCATCAGCCAGGTGTTGAGCATCCACGTACTAAATCATTACTAGAGGTGCACCAATACACTGGTCCCATATTGGATTGGCACTGATAAAAGGAAAATTGACGGTATTGGCAACTGGCCCTTTTTTTGGCTGATGTGGCCGATAAATGCCACGTGCATGCGCTCAACTGCAGCGCAGAACACAGGTGGCCAGGAGAACAGCCTGGTAGCATAGAGAGCAGCCAGGTCTGCTTGGAAAGTCTGTTGTGAGGGAAGAGGCTGGGGGGGGGTGGGAGGGGGGGGGGGGGGGAGCGGCAGGGCGAGGCCCCAGCAATGAGGGAGGGAGTGGGGCTGGCACTGCACAGCCAAGGTGGGGCGCGGGATGGAGCCACAAGTGGCTCATCCCAGGGGGTGCAACTCCTGCCACTACATTCACCCCGGGAAGGCGTGGGGGGGCATGTGCCCCCAGATCTGCCCCTGGGGCGAGGGCTGGGGCAGTGCCAGGTTCTTCCCGGTGAGAGGTTGAACCAGGCTGTGCTTGGGGTGGGCAGTGGTGGTACTGGGAGGGGGGCCATGAGGGGGCTATGCCAAATTTTGGGGTGGCTGCAGCCCCCCCAACCCTTGTCCCAGCAGTGCCACTGCTGCTCCTGAATGCAGCCCAGCCCCCCGCCAGAAAGAGCTTGGTGCTGTCCCCAGCCCCAGCCAGCACAGTGGCAGCCCACCCAGGGGGCGCATGCCAGCAAGAGCCACCACCTCCTCCACGCACCACTGGACGAGCCACTCACAGCTCTGTCCCATGCTCTGCCCTGGCTGTGCAGCGCCTGCCCCTGCACGGGCCCCAGCCCCACTCCTTCCCTCACCACGAGCCCTTGATCTGCCCCCCATGCCCCTTACCTCCCCACTTTCCCCTTCCCCCACAACAGACTTACCAGCTGAATGCTGCTCTCCAAGCTGCTCAGCTGCATGTTGACAGTCAGATTGGTATTGGGCGATACGGCTCCCTTTAAAAAAAAAAAAATTGGTCATTGGTATTGGCCCCAAAAAATCTCTATTGGTGCACCCCTTATGATTACTTCACATTCTCTTCTTTGCAGTTTCAGAAACTATAAAAAAAAAAGTTTGCCGTACTTCAAAAAGCATGGAAAGAAAAACATAAAACTGTAAGCTAGACATCATACAGTGCTAAAACCTTTGAGTGAGTCAAAATTCCCAAAATGATTAGTTGGAACATTTAAAGGAAAAAAATAGCAAGTAAAAGCTGGAAACACAACTATTATTTGGGGTTTATATCAAATAATCAAGAAAAAGCTGTCCAGCATTTAAAATTAATGGTAGCTGAAATTCTCTCTACAGATAGCATGCTTATGGACACCAATTTAAAATAACTATTTATCGGTAAAACTGCTTCCACAACTTTGAAGAAGATATCATACATGCACTAACCTTGAACAGTATACTCAAAACATCTGCCCCCCCCCCTCCATTTTTACCTGTTGGGCTCAGAATCACCACCCTCTCAAAATTCAGTCACGTCTTGTGCCAGGGTATTACTTTACGCAGTCACTTAGTTTCTGAAGTGACAAGCAGCATCAAAAAGCTAGACTGGAGAGCAGAATCTAGATCGTAAAGCAATGCACGTCACAATTCTCAAAAACCAGCAGTGCTTAACTTTTTGACCCACAAGCAAATGAATGGTGTGGGGACAGTCCATGGAATGGATCTGACCCCATGTGATGGAATCAGGACCCAGGGGCTGCGCCCCACACCTGCCCAGCCCCATACACTGGGATCAGGACCCCACTGCCCAGCCCTGCTTGCTAGGATCAGGTTCCGTGTTGCCTGATCTAGCGCACAGGCCTACAACCCATGGAAGCTCCCCACATACCTATGGGACCAGATCTGGCCCATAAGCTGGCTGAGCAGCTCTGCTCTAAACTTTTTTTTTTTTGCAGGTGCACCACAAATTAGCCCTACAGCCCCTGAATGCCACTCCAATACCCTTCTTCTGCCTAATCTGATGCTCTGCTTTCAGAGCTAAACTGTATTCCCTGCCTGACACGCTCTCTGCTTTCTGCCCTGTGCTCCCCATCTGATCTGTTGCTGCTTTCTGCCCCTTGCCTTATTTGCTGCCGTACTGCCTTGTCCCCTCCCTAATCTGCAGCGTACCCCACACAGAGGCTGCTCGTGCTACTTGTGGCAGTCGTACTTCAGGTTAGCCACCCCAGGATTAAAGAATGCTTAGTCTCTTTCCCCTGGTTTGGTGATCTACAACAGATGCCCACTAGGCTACAATCCTTGCTCTTCACCCCTCTGACCTTCACCCAGAGGTATTAACAAGCCTACTTCCATCCTCACACTACACCTCAGAACAAGTGCATAAGGCAATGGCATATATATGAGGAAAGGACAGTATTACTTATTAGTACAAAACCATTATAACTAAGGCAACATTTCATCCTTTCCCCCACCCCTTGCATGTGCTGTCTGTACAAGTTCTATCCACCTATGGCAGTACTTCCAGTTCTTCATGCTTGTTTCCCATGCTTCTCATATGAATATATAAATATTGTTCGATCTCATTTCTTTAGAAAAAGGTACACTTGATTCTCTAGCTCCCTCTCTTACAGCCAGATTAAGATTTACAAGGCTGGTGGGAGGAAAAAAAAAATATTATAAACTCAGAGCTTAGTCTATACTAGAAGTGGTATGCTGATACAACTGTACCTGGCAAACCCTTCTAGTGTAGCAAGAACTTGTTTTACTAATATATCTTATGCCACTTGCCTGAATGGAATAAACCGTACAAGCAAGAACAGTTTTGCTGGTGATTTTTTTTTGTATCAACATAAGGTAAGTTAAACATATCACACCCCTAACAAAGTGCTATTCTGGCAAAAAAATTTCAGTGTGGTTTTAGCCTTAGCTAGGCTTTTCACTAATCAAATATCCAGTTTTTCTCTATTCTCCACATAGTATCTGACAAAGTCTACAAAATGTCATACCCCTCTGAATGAATAAGTCTACAACAGGGGTGGGCAATTATTTCAGCTGGAGGGCCACTTAATGAGTTTTGGTAAGCTGTCAAGGGCCACAAAAGTAGCCCTGCCCCCTGGTTTCCACCTTGAGACTAAAAATCTCACCCCCTAATCCCTGACCTTAGCCACTGGAAGTCCCTCCCCTTGCCCCCAGAAGTACTCCTGGAGGGGGGAAAGAGGTGCCAGGATCTGCAAGTGGCAGTAGGGAGCACGGAAGGCAACCAGCTCCATTGCATGGGGCTTCCCTCTGGTAGTGCACAAGTCCAGGGAGCTGCACATGAGCCCTGTGTGATAAGAGGTGAGCCTGACTGGCTCAGCTCCTTGCTGCCACATGCATCTCCCAGAACAAGCTGGAGCCCCTGGGCGGCTGCACCCGTGCAGACCACAAGCACCCCAAGTGCCTGCCGCCTGGTGCTGCTGCCAGCAGTGGGGACTGTGTG